GCCCTCTCGGAGGAAAGGCTGTGACTCTGCAGTTCTACGCACACGTTACGGGATCCCTCCGCCACAGGTTAACCCCGACTGCGCCAGACCGGCCGCTGTGCAGACACGTGGGAATGAAGCCCCCCTGCTCGTCGCCCCAGTTCTGGAGCTGTCTTCCTTACCTTCTGGACGGTGAAACTGGAATTCTGGTCACTTTCTAATTCCATTCCCTTGCAGTCGTTGGTTTCTGAAACTGCAGCTGCCCCCTTGTCTTGGCCAGGGGCAATCTTTCCCGGGAGGGGGATGGAAAAAGAGCCAGGAGATTGGACGCTGCTCTGCATCCTGGGAACTGGAGTCCGCAAATGGAGAAAGTGAGGCACGGCGCCTGGCGCTGTATAGGGTGTGTTCTTGCCACGTTCGGGGGCCCAAAGAACTCTGGACGAGTTCCTAGTCTTTCCTTTCTGGCTCCCAGACCCCTTCTTGAGTAAGGACGGTCGGTGCCCTCACAATTGCCACACACACACACACACCGCTTCCCCATCAAAACATCAATGCAGAGCTTCCTTCTCTTCCTTTTCAGAGTGCTCCTACCCCCAACTCTAGTGAATCTTCAGGCCCTCTGTCCCCTTTTTTTTTCTTTTTAAGTAAACTAAGGTAGCTTTGCTACTACCTGGCGGGAGTACTGTTACTCTGAAAAAGATTCCAGAACACACTCTTGGCGGGCACCTCCACCCCAAGTCTGGATGAGAGGAAGCAATAGGAGTGACTTTCTGTATGAGCTGTACACTTGGGGCAGGTAGGAGACAAACTAACAATGTGTAGATACTTTATATCTTCCTAGTTATTCCTCACTTGTATTATGAATTGCATGGAACGATCTCCATATTACCGATGAAGATTGAGACTAAAAGAGATAAAATTGCCCAGGAAGTCACATCTAGTGAGAAGCTGAGCCATGCTTCAAACCAAAGGCCATGTTTTGTTGATTAAAAACATTGTGTGTGTTTTTTTAGCTGTACTGAATATTGTGGGGGAGGGGGTCACTACAAATGGTTTACATCCCCAGCCTTTTGAATTTTTTATTTTGAGACTGGGTCTTCATAAGTTGCTCTGGCTGGTCTAGAACTTGCTATCCTCCTGCCTCAGCCTCCCGAGTATTTTTTTGTTTTTAAAGGAAAAATGAAGAAAGGCAAGCAGAACGGTACAGGACTAGTGTTGTGGGAAGAGTTTAGGACACGGGCCCAATGGAAAAGGTGAGCACTTTGAAGTGAAGGTAGTATTATTGAGGAACTTTTTATTTTAACTAAATTAAATTTATAAAGCCATATGTGACTTGGGGCTTCCATATTGGACAGTCATGAAGACTTGGTCATGGTTATAGGAGGGATCAGGACGAGGTATGTCCTCCACTATGCACACATTGACATCATGTTCTCTGCTCTGTCCAAGTGCATTTCAGAAAAAAACGAAAATGAAAAACCTTTAGCAATGACCCCACATCTATCCCAGCTATATAGTAAGTTAATTGAGAGATAGAAGTCGGAAAATGGAAGATGTCTCCCTATTGTCTGTACCCAGAGATAGGGAAAGGCAAACCCTCACTAGAAACTCCAATAATAACACTGACTTATAGACTGATAGCTACCATTTTTTTTTTAAACTTTTTTTTCCTTGTACTGGGGATTGAACCCAAGGGCACTTAACCACTGAGTGACATCCCCAGCATTTTTTTATTTTTTTGAGACAGGGTCTCACTAAGTTGCTTAGGGCCTTGCTAAATTGCTGAAGATGACTTTAATTGGGATCCTCCTGCCTCAGCCTCTCAAGCTGCTGGAATTACAGGTATGCACCACTGCACCCAGCTGATAGCCACCATTTCTTAAGGGCTTGTATGTATGATGACCTATGCAAAGTATTATGTATATTACCTCATTTAATTCTCATCTCAACCGTCTGAAGCAGATTTAACCACACTATGTAAGATGCTGAGGCTCAGAGACTTTAAGTGACTGCCCAAGGTTACAATGCTAAATGGAGAAGCTATTAACCACTAATAACTCAAGGTTTTCAGGCCCTGGGATTGCTTATTGATAAACATCTAGAAAAATCTCAGATGTCTATAAAGTCTATCCCAGGCTTTATGAAAATGGCAGTGGTAGGTTCCTGTAATGAGAATCCTTACCAGATGTGCAGAAGGACCTAATTGTATGCCATATGTGACTTGGGGCTTCCAAGTAAAAAGTAAAGAGAGGATGATGATGGCCTTAAGAAACCTCCTAAGTCACTGAGATTGCTCTTTGGGGTATATATTTTTTTCTAGAGGCCTTATTTCTTGTTAGATTCTGTATCAGAGAAGCAAAAATAGGACTTTGAAAAATCAGCATGACAAAACATCATTTTCAGCAATAAGACTGGAGCCAAATACTGACAAGGTCATGGCTAAAAATCCCACCTAGCGGGCTGGGATTGTGGCTGAGTGGTAGAGCACTTGCCTAGCATGTGTGAGGCACTGGGTTCAATTCTCAGCACCAAATACCAATAAATAAATAAAATTTAAAAATTCATCAACAATGAATAAAAATGTTTAAAAATTTTTTTTAAAAAAATCCCACCTTGGGCTGGGGATGTGGCTCAAGCGGTAGCGCGCTCACCTGGCACGCGTGCGGCCTGGGTTCGATCCTCAGCACCACATATCAACAAAGATGTTGTGTCTGCCGAGAACTAAAAAATAAATATTAAAAAAAAAAATTATTAAAAAAAAAAAAATCCCACCTAGCTGGGCATGGTGGTACACATTTGTAATACAAGCAACTCAGGAGACTGGAGCAAAGGATCACAGATTTTTTTTTTTTAATATTTATTTTTTAGTGTTTTTAGGTGGACACAATATCTTTATTTTATTTTTATGTGGTGTTGAGGATCGAACCCAGTGCCCCACGCATGCCAGGCGAGTGTGCTACTGCTTGAGCCACATACCCAGCCCGGATCACAGATTTGGGCCCAACTTGGACAACTTGGTGATACCCCATCTCAAAAAATAGCCAGGCCTGGTAGCACATGCCTGCAATTCCAGAGACTTGGGAGTCTGAGACAGGAGGATTATAAATTCAAGGCCAGACTCAGCAATTTAGAGGCACTAAGCAACATACTGAGATGTGGCTCAGTGCTAAAGCACCTTTGGGTTCAATCCTCAAAACCAAAAATAATAAATTTTTTTTTAATAAAAAGGACTGGGAGAGCTGGAACTGTAACTCAGTGGTAAAGAGATTGCCTTGCATGTGTGAGGCACTGGGCTCAATCCTCAGCACCACATAAAAATAAAGATACTGGGGCTGGGGATGTGGCTCAAGCGGTAGCGCGCTTGCCTGGCATGCGTGCGGCCCGGGTTCGATTCTCAGCACCACATACCAACAAAGATGTTGTGTCCGCCGAGAACTAAAAAATAAATATTAAAAATTCTCTCTCTCTCTCCTCTCTCACTCTCTCTTTAAAAAAAAAATAAAATAAAAAATAAAGATACTGTGTGGGTTCATCTACAACTAAAAATATATATATATTATTTATTTATTTTTTTTTTAAAGAGGGAGAGAGAGAGAGAGAGAGAATTTTTGATATTTATTTTTTTAGTTCTCGGCGGACACAACATCTTTGTTGGTATGTGGTGCTGAGGATCGAACCCGGGCCACACGCATGCCAGGCGAGCGCGCTACCGCTTGAGCCACATCCCCAGCCCACAAAATATATATATTTTTAAAAAGGACTAGGAATGTAGCTAAGAGTCCCCAGTACCACAAAAAAAAAAAAAAAAAAAAAAAAATTTTTGTCCATTTCTCACCGCCACCAAGTAAGTGCACTGATGGGGTAGTTCATCCTCCTTATACATTTATGATACCATTCAAATAATCCGTTTTGTTGGAAGAGAAGCTGGGCCAGTTAGACTCTTGGGTTATGAGAAAGAGAGTCAGGAAAAACAGGCAGCTGGATAGGGTGGTGCATGCCTCCAATCTCAGCTACTTGGGAGGCTGAGGCAGGAAGATTACAAGTTCAAAGGCAGCCTCAGCAATTTAGCAAGACCCTGTCTAAAAAAGGGCGGGGGAGTGAGGGGAGCTGGGGATGTGTCTCAGTGCTTAAGCACCCTTGGCTTCAATTCCTGGTACCAAAAATAAAATAAATTTTAAAAAATTGAGACAGAGGTGCTGGGGTCGGGGCTCAGTGGTAGAGCACTTGCCTGGCATGTGTGAGGCATGGGGTTCAATTCTCAGCACTGCATATAGATAAATAAAGGTCCATTGACAACTAAAATATGTATATAGTGTTTATGTATGTATGTATATAAACTGAGGCAAAGAGACCCAAACCTTTCTAGCTGAAATAGATAGCCATCCTCATTCTAAGGTGGTAAGTTGTTGAAAAAGGACAAAAACAATATCCTTTGGCAGCTAAAACACGTAGCATGCCCCCCAAAATGTGAACAGTGCAAAAAAATTAAAAAGCATAAAAAGAGCAAAGAATGCATATTATAATGAAAGGGACTAGGGGCAAAGAGGCTGATATGCACCAGAAGCATTATTTCTGACTTTCTTAACTTTCTTGGGGAAATCAAAATCTTCACAACACTTTTAGTCTTTACCTTCATTTTCACATTATAAGGAATGAGGAACTTCCTCTTTTTTCTCCCCCCCAAATTCTACCAGGAGTCTCAGCCAAGTACTAAGGCCCCAGAGACAACAGCTAGATCAGCATATGGCAGGTGGCCACTAGAGGGTGGTGTTTCTGTAGATAAGGGAATGTTAAGAGCCTAACTTGGATGGGTGGAGTAACCAACAAAAACTCAGTACTGTAGAGAAGAACCTAGCAGAAAGGTGAGAAAGGCAGGTGGTAAGTCTTAGGGTAATGGCCCTTAATAAATGAGGAGTAAGGAGTAGGAATGAGGTAGGAGGAATGATTTCCCACCAAAGACCATCACTCTTTGGAAAAGGAATACTGGTCCTGAGCTTCTCAGATACAGAAAAGTCAACAACTAAAGATTTCTCAGTTTATTTGCATATATACATTGTCACACCAGGGAGCCAACTCTTCTTCAGGAGTCCCCAGCTCTTCTTGCCCAGGCAACACCAAAAACCTATACAGGAGGATGAGTCCTGGATAAACAATGCCCAGGACTCATATACCAACCCACAGGTTCTAAGAGAATTCATTTAGAGGAAAAAAGGGTCTAGAGAGGCCAGTGCCCATGAGACATCCTTGCCCTTTGTAAACATTGACACCCAGGCCACTGGAGCCTGTGGAAATTGTGCAAATATGAGGTACCACACTGTGTGCCCAGAGGGCTAGGAATAGCTGGCAGCTATCCATGAAGTCCAGAGGGTCTGTCCCCCAGTGGAACCCAGCAAGTGCTAGAGGCAGCAACAAGGGAGTTACCCCACACCCAAGGGCTCACATGAGACGGCATCGTCGCTCTTGCCCATAGGAATTCTCCACACGAGCAATCTCCTGGATGACTTTTGTGAAGATGCCTTGAGTCAGCTATATGGGATAAGCATTCAGGGCAAAAGTCAGTTTGGTGCCAGCTCTGAGGTGAATGCCCCATTCCCCTTCCATCCCCACCACCAAGCAATGTATAAGGAAGAAACTGCTATCCCCACCACCTTCCCAGTACCTGAGTCTCTCGAGCAGATGACTCCATAAATGTCGCACCCCAGGACTCTGCTAATTTCTTCCCTTCAACTGCCTGTACCTCTCTGAAAGTAAATTTGGGACATAAAAATGGACGATAACAATGTACCCAAGTTCTCTGCAAAATCTTTAGAATCTAGACTTCTCTGATACTTCCCATCTCTCCAAAGTTTGCAACAAAGGTTGAGGAAAGAGATATAGGTAAACAAAGGGCTGAGTCTTGCAGCTGGGGATATAGCTCAGTAGAATGCCTGCCTCACATGCACAAGGCCTGGGTTCAATCCCCAGAACCACAGGGAGTTTAAAAAAAAAGGACTGAGACTTGAAATACTCTAACTGTGGCTTTTGTGATAGAAGGGTTATCTTCTCTTAACCCTCTAGTTAGAAATGAAGAGAGGTGAAATAGTTTATTTGAGTCAGTAGTAGGGATAGGACTAGAGCTTAACTGATTCCTAGTCTAACTCACTTTCCTTAACCCTGAGCAGCAGAGACTTACATACCTGTCTGGAGAGAGATCTGCCTTGTTCCCCACTAGCACCACTGGCAGCCTGTGAGGAGATGGCAGTGACTATAGGCTCCCCTCTCATTCTCTATGGACCCCAACCACCTTCAAATCAAGGCTTGACAAATCCCCATCAGACTAGGCATTATCTATGTACTAGCCTCCTTTCTAATTTAGACAATTCACCCCTCTGCTCCTCCAACCCCCTTCAGCCCACTTACCGGGTTTTCCCATGCCCTTCATGTAGCTTTTGGTACAGACTCTCAATGACTTGGAAGCTTTAAGCACAAGAAATGGAGCTATAATCCTAATTCTGAGACAGTCCTCATGTCCTCCCAGGTCCCCCACAACTTTGTTTACTTACCTATGTAGAGAGGTGACAGAATACACAAGGACATAACCATGGACCCCAATGATGAATGAATAGGGCAAAATGCTGTACTCATCCTGACAATAAATAGAAACATTAGTACCTAGATCCACACCACTCAGATGGCAAAGGTCGATGGGACAGTGTCCATTGTTCTTGGGGCACTCCCCACTCCAGTCACTTCTATCCAATAAGTTTATGGAACAGCTCTAATGAGCCCTACAAACAGTGTTAGCAGCTAAAATGCTTTTCATCCAATACTATTTTACACATGAACCACAAAAGCTGCCAAACTTTACTTCCTAGGGCTGAACTACCACATTTGAATACCCTGCCCCAACTGGTACCTGCCCTGCTGTGTCCACCAGGTGTAGGTGAAACTCATCTTTGCCAAGAGTCACTATCTTGCTGTAAGCTGAAAAGAAAAGAAAACTTGACTGTGAGGTGCCTTGTACAGCCAGCAATGTGTACCCCATACATTCTTAACTCTGGAGGTGACATAGATGTACCAGGTCCAGGGAGCTCTCCAGGAAACTAAAGTGACATGCTAGGACTCTTACTGTCTATATCTACACTATTCTGGACATAGTACCTTGCAAATCCATACTCTATTCACCCACAGAACAAGATTGCAAGAGGAGATTAGTTTTAACAACTAAATAAAGGAGCCCCTTGACAACAGGAAAATCCCAAATTATGGAGTTGGGTGAGGCACCCAAGCCCTCCAGGTTATATCCCCTTCACACGAAAGGACAAACTACTCACTATTCTCCACTGTAGGATCATAGCCTTCCAAAAACTCGCCTTTCACAAATTGATGTGCCAAAGATGTCTTCCCTGTAAAGTGCAGAAGTAGTATGTAAAACATCCCTCCACATTCACATCCTCAGTCCTTTAGGACTGTGGCTCAGGACCAAATAGTACCCCAAATCAGTACCCTAGTCTGTGAGCGCCCCAACAAAGACTTTCTCTTACGCTACCTTCACCATCTTTTCGCCTTGTCTCTTCGCTTTGGCTCCCGGGTGCATACAGCAGCGCGGCAGGAAGCCTTTCCTGCCACCTTTCCCTACCCCACCTCACTCCCGGGAAGATTCGATATTCCTAGGAGCGTCCTCACTGCCCCAGGACACTTGTGACTTTGCCCACACCTTCGAGTCCGGACCCCATCTCTACTCCCAGGATAACGCTGAGGACCTCTCAGATGTTCCTGCAGTCAAGTCCACATTAACCCTTATAAGCTACGGCTTCCTGCAGCCTTCAACACACCAACCTTTTTTCCTCCATCCCTCGCTCTAAACACTAGGCACTGGGTCAAGTTCCCGCGACAGCGCGCCTCTCCTGGCCACAAAGCTGCGGTGCGTTCCTGTTCTTTGCAGGGCGGAGACTCACCTACAGAGCGGTATCCGAGGATGACCACTTTCCTGTAGCGGACCAACGGCATGGCAGGAACCCGCCCCAAGGGGCATGCAGAACTGCGGGCTAAGAGAGCCCGAAGAAGAGGTCTGGATGTAGGCAGGCACGGCAACCGGGGCAGGAAAATTGTTCACCCCAAAGCTTCCAGAGGCAAGCTAAAGAAAAACCAAAACAAGCGCCGCGCCCGAAGTCGGCCACGTGATCACAACACAGCAAGACTAACGCGAGGGAGCCGGGCGCCCGGGGAACTACAGAACCTGGTGGCTTCGGGCTCCGCCCCCCAGGCCTCTCATCATTCGTCTATTAGAATGGATGAGGGCGGGGCCGCCGTGCTAGAGGGACTGGTGGGCCTCACGTGGAGCGGGAGAACCGGGAGCTGCGCGTGCGTCGATTTGAGCCGGTTCATTCATAAAGAAACAGAATGGAACACGGGGTCCTAAAGGTATTTGCGCATTTGCAGCCCGACAGGAGTGGCTACAAAGTATCATAGATGGAAAATACCCAGCGTGATTGAGTCTGAGTGTCTAGTCAAAAGATTCTAGGCCTCCCTTTTGCAAGGTCTCTGGGGTCTTTGGCTAGGAAAGAAAAGCCAAAGTTCATGAATTTTTTTCTTCGCTTCTTCAGCCTGCAACCCCAGATCTTTTGTTTTTAGGTTTCCCAGTCTTCCAGGATTTTTCTTTTTCCGGTTCTGGGATGGAACCCAGGGGCTTGGAACTGCAATTCTTGTTCTTGGAAAATTTGCAAGAATGTGTAACCGACTAGTTTGAGTTGTTGTTGTCGTCGTCGTCGTCATAAGTAGTGCGCTCATTTATTCAGCGAATATTTATTAGGCATATACTACAAGTTCCAGACATCGCTCCAACTTTGGAGATGGAGAGATGAACATATCAGACAAGGTCTCTATTCTCACAAAGCTTAAAATTTATTGAGGAGGGCTGGGGATGTGGCTCAAGTGGTAGGGCGCTCGCCTGGCATGCGTGCGGCCCGGGTTCGATCCTCTGCACCACATACACACAAAGATGTTGTGTCTGCCGAAAACTAAAAAATAAATATTAAAATTAAAAAAAAAATTTATTGAGGAGAGGGTCTGGGGTTATAGATCAGTGTGACATGTAGGAAGCCCTGGATTCAATCCCCAGCACGAGGGGGGGGGGAATTATTGAGGGAGAAACAAACATATAGACAAAAAGTAAATAAATAAATAAAACAGTGCAGTGTTAAGTGCTATTAAAGGTGGTATGATAAGAAATTACCACTTCTGATTAGTGATACTCCTTCTCAGAGGGAGTCCCCCTTAAAACTGATATCTGAATGGCAACAAGGAGTTAACTAGCTGAATATTCCAAAAGAAGAATCCATTAATGCTAAAGTGCTAAAATGGAAATAAATTTTGTTAATTCCAGGATGGTGGGGGGAAAAGCCAATTAGCCTAAAGCATATGAAGTTTAAGAGGAAAGTAGAGACCAAACAACATAAAGAAGTCCAGGTTAATTAAATACCTAAAGATGTTTAATCTGGTTTAGAAATGACATCATCAGAACTGTTTCTAGTGCTAAGGATGTAATTCAATGGTAGAGCACATGCTTTTGTGCATGAGACTGTTGAGAGCCACAGTTTAGTGGGAATGACACCTGGTATTTTGCTAGAGGGAATGGTTGAAAGGTGACCCTGCTCCGGGATTAGGGCGGATCCTGGGGGGAATAGGGCGGCTCTGGGATTAGGGAGGATCCTGCTGCCTAGGGCTCCGGCTACTTCGGAGTTCCTGTTGAGTTTTCGCTGGGTTCTGTGAAAATTGGCGTGGGAATATGTTCCCGGAAAGTGTGTGTAGAGTGCTGGTGAGAGTTCGGAAATAAAGAGTTGCTGTTTGAACCTACAAGGCTTTGTGGAAGCTCGGTTATTTTGTGCCCAGCCAGACTGCATCCTGAGACCCTGGGTTCCATCCCAGCACAACTCCACCATCCAAAAAAAAAAAAAAAAAAGCAATTCTAAAAGATCTTCCTCACTCTGGAGAGATTGGAGTTTGATGGGAACTGGAGCAAGAAAGAAGGTGGAGAGATCAGCTAAGAAAGAAACTATTACTGTAGTCTAGATGGGAGATAAGGTTGGTTTGGCTAGAATGGTAGTAATAATTAAGTAAAGAGAAAAGATATGTTTGAAAACTGAGGTCAAGCCGACTTGTTGAATTATTGGACATGGGGAAGGGAGAGGGAAAACACTTAAATTTATAGAGTTCTACTATGTACTAAGTGCATTTTATTGTTATCTCACTTTATATTTACTACAAAACTAACATTGATAATTATTTTAATTTATTCATTCATCAATATATAAATGTTGAGCCAGGCAGGATGACAACACACATGTCCAGCTACTTCAGAGGCTGAGGTGGAGGATGGCTTTAACTCATGAGTAACAAGACCCCATCGTAAAAAAAAAAAAAAAATAGTGTAAACACACACACCTAAAGGTGTGGTGGTACACACTTGTAATTCCAGCTACTTAGGAGGCTGAGGCAGGATAGCAAGTTCAAGACTAACCTAGGTAATTTTAACAAGACCTTCTTCTAAAAAAAAAAAAAAAAAAGAAAAGAAAAAGAAAGAAAAGAAAAAAGAAGGAAAAAGCGCATGCCACAACACCCAGTTTATTTTGCATTTCTAATATGTTTTTTAAATCTAGATCTACAAAAGTTGCTTCAAAAAACCACTCCTAATCTGGCCTCAGGAAAGGATCCAAATATCTTTTGCTATTGGGTAAAAAAGAAGTTATTTGCAGACTAGCAATTTTATGTTGGATTTTATGCATGAATAAGGTTGATGGTGATTTCAGATTGGGTTGTGAGTACTGTAGGACAGAACAGATAACTAAATTCAATTAAATGCAAATAAAAATGGATTCATCTCCTACTTTTTGCCAGGACTCTCACTGTGTGTTGAGTTCTGTAGATGTAAGAAAAGAAAAAAGAAAAAGATAGATGCCTATGTGGTGTTTTTACCTCCAGATTAATTCTTCAATATTTTTTACCTTGATTTGTGTCCAGGAGACTTTTCCCTCTGACTCTCTGTGGAGCTTAAACAAAGGGAAGCACTCAAAGGAGATGAGAATGAAAGAGGAGGGTGGCTGGGACCCCTCTGAAGGTCAAAGCACCTCTTGAGGAAGCTACCTCTCACTCAGCTCTCTCCTGGTTTGCTGTAACCCCTGTCCTCACTCCTCATGCCTACAGTTGTGATGGGCCTATGTTATACACCTTGGGTTACTATTCTACTCACTATTGCTTTCCTGTACTCTGTCCACACCTCTGTAAATAGTCTCTTCATTAACTCATCTTCAGACTCTTGCTGTGAATCAGGTATGGTGGTACACAGCAAAGTGAAAGAGATCAGATAAAGGGCTTTCTCCTCTTGTGGCCTTTTCTGTTTACATGTGGAGGGAATATCTTTAGCAGATTGTCTCCTTGAATAAAACTGTACCATATGACCATCTGTAGCTGTAAGGGAGTCCAGAAATTTTACCATTTTCCTTTCTAACCTCTATAGTAAAGGAAGACAAAAGATGAGATGATTCGAAATAAATAGGGCCAATAAGTGTGGTAGTGCATGCCTGTAATTCCAGTGACTTGAGAGACTGAGGCAGAAGCATCATAAGTTGAAGGTGAACCTGGGCAAAAGTGAGACCCTCAGCAATTTAGCTGAGTTACATCTCCAGTCTTTTTTATTTATTTATTTATTTATTTATATGATCAAAATATAAATAAATAAAAAGACTGGAGATGTAACTCAGTGGTAAAGTGACAGGATTTAATTCCTCATATCAAAAAAGAAAGGAAGGAAGGAAGGAAGGAAGGAAGGAAGGAAGGAAGGAGAGAAAAGAAAAGAAAAAAAGGAAGAATGAAATGCTTAGGCTAGGATGTAGCTCAATGGTAAAGTATTTGACTGTCATGCACATAAGCCATGGTTTCAGTCCCCAGCACCAAGATAAATAAAGAAAAAAATGTTTCTTGATTCAATCTACAAAACCTATATAACTTTAGGACCAAGGTTTTTATTTGTTCAATATTTGTTCATGAGTCTGGGGGTATAGTTCAGTGGTAGAGTGTATGCTTAGCATGTAAGAAAAATAAATATTTGCTCATTAAATATCACTTTTTTTAATACTAGGGACTGAACCAAGGAGTGCATTATCACTGAGCCACATTCCCAGTTCTTTTAAACTCACTAAATTGCTTAAGGCTATGCTAAATTACTTTCAGTCCAACTGAGTAGCTGGGATTACAGGTGTGAGCCATCATGCCCAGTTTATCAGTTATTTTTTTAAATAATGTACAAATGGTCACTAGGTAAAGATTACAGTTATACCAAGATCACCAATACAGGACCAAAAATAAAGGAAGCAAACTATCCTAATGTAGATAAATAGGTTTACAATGACATTGTTAGTAATAACACCATACAGTGCTATGTCTCAAACAACTGAGACAAAATAAAGATTAAAAAATTCCCAGAAAAATGTTTTAAGTATCTCTGTAAAAAGTGAAAACATCTGCCAGGTAAATTGATACACACCTGTAATCCTGGTGACTCTGAAGATCAAGACAGAAAGAAGGATTGCAAGTTTGAGGCTAGCCTCGTCATTTTAGTGAGGCCCAAAGCAACTTAGTGAAACAGAATTTAAAAAATAAAAGAGCTGCGGGATGGGGATGTGGCTCAAGTGGTAGCGCTCTCTCGCCTGGCATTCGCGCTGCCCAGGTTCAATCCTCGGCTCCACATACAAAGATGTTGTGTCCGCCAAATACTAAAAAATAAATATTAAAATTCTCTCTCTTTCTCACTCTTTAAAAAAATATATATTAAAAAAATTAATTGGTCTTATGTGTTGCCAGGTCTTCTGATTTAAAAAATAAAAATAAAAAATAAAAGAGCTGGGATTAAGGGCTGGGATTGTAGCTCAGTGGTAGAGCACTTGCCTAGCATGTGTGAGGCTCTGGGTTTGAGTCTCAGTACCACATATAAATAAATAAAATAAATGTCCATTGACAACTAAAAAAATTTTTTTAAATAAAAGAACTGGGATTGAAATTGTAGCTCAGTGGTAAAGTGTCCCTGTTCAATCCCCACTACCACAAATAAATAAATAAATAAATATGAGAATATCTCTATAATTATAATTATAATTATATAATTATGTTGCATTTTCTCTCCAGTGAATTCTGTTGCACAGGGCTTTAGGGTTTCTTGGTTTTCTATAGTTATGGGAAACTTCCCTACTGATTATCATTGCAATGTAATAAATAGGATCAAAACTTTGTAGCTTAAAAAAAACT